CGGAAAGAGCTAATTATGTGGTGGGATTTTTTGTTTAAAACGAGAGCTTTACTTGAAGATGCTAAGAATCGAGTAGAACACGATTTCTTGGTGAAGTTATGGGTTACCGATATGGTGGAAGTGCTTAATGATATGGAGGATATATTTGATGAGATAATGGATGCCAATTTATCCAGCCTAACTGCAGAAGTCCAATGTGCCAACAAGCCATGGAAACTCATTCTTAATTTGTTTAACAAGGTTTCAAGATTTATCCATTACCGAAATAAAGGGATGACTTCCAAGTTGAAGGATATAGCTGCCAGATTAAACGATATTCTTATGATAGCAGAGCCGTTGGGCCTCCAAAACAGATTGGGAACTGGAGATGAGACTGGTACTCTTCTACCTCTCTGTTTGAATTTGCTACAGTTTTTCTACGTTTCTTAAAGCGTTTACAACGGGAGGGTTGCATCATGAAAATTTAAATTATTTATTTAATCTCTAAAAAGTTATTTTTAAATAGATTCTCATCTCCCATTCATGGAATCAATAAAAACTCTTCCCATTCATGGAATCAATAAAAACTCTTCAAAAGTTACACAACCCAAAAAATGTCTTAATAATAATATAAAATTATTGTAATAATAAAATTTTTCTTAAAATACTTAAATAATTACTCATTAGATTTTAAAAACTTTTCAATAAATACCCAATAGATAATTTAAAAAATACCTATCTCAATAAGCTTTTTAAAACATATCTATTAAAAATAATTTAAATTGAACATATATTAAATATTACAATCCAATATTAATAAGATTTAATTTTTTATTAATTCTATTCTAACTTTCTTGTTGTAGGATTTAACTTGATCTTTCTTTAATATCTTTCCAATTACTATGCAGAATTAGAGTTACAATTATAAAAATCGACATACAAGAGTAATATATTTATGAGAAATTAATGTTTATTCAATTTATTTTTTAAAAATTAAAAGAAAAATTATGTTAAAATTACATTATTTTAATAAACTTTAATAAAGTAAAGCTAAAATACTCTGCTTTTAAAATATAAATTAAATTTTTTTTATCCTTTTTATGATATTTTATTAAAATGATATTATTTTAAAATAACTTTAATTTTTTCTTAATTTTTTAAAATAAAATATGATATTTTATTAAAATGATATTATTTTAAAATAATTTTTTTAATTTTTTAAAATAAAATAAACGAACACACAAATAGTTTTTTTCTTAATTTTTTAAAATAAAATAGACGAACCACGCACGTACGCACGCACACGCACGCACGCGCACACACACACATGTAATTTTTTTTTTATTTTTTTAAAATAAAACAGACGAATACACACATACACACATATTTTAAAATAATTTTAAAAAATTTTTTAAAATAAAATGACGAACACACATATACATACATATTTTAAAATAATTTTTTTTCTTAATTTTTTAAAATAAAATAGACGAATGAACACGCACACGCACACGCACATGCACATTTAATTTCAAATTAATGATTTTTAAAAATTAAGTTCTATCCTACACAAATAACAAAAATAATGTAAAATTGAGTAAAATCATATTAAATTCATTCAAATATTAATAAAATTAATTAAGGCTAAAGTAACATTATATTATATACAAGAATTTAACTTATCATGTACTATAAGTAAAATCGGTAAATTTTGTATTAGAATTTATTATTAAGACTTTTAATGAGCTGTTAATAGTACATTTTTCGTACAAAAAAGAGACAAAAATAGAAAAAGATAACCACAAAGAGGATTACGAAAGCAATTGTCGACCACAACTTTTGAATGATGAGTACAAGAGGGTACTCTATAATCCCAAAAGCATAAAGTTAAGTGAAAAAGAATTAGGAAATAATGTTAAGAAGTTGTACCCTTTATGTTTTAGTTTAAAATATTTTTAATATAAACAAAGAGAGATAGAAGAAAATTAGGATAAAAAGAAATATATAATGATAATTGAAGATGCAAAGTGTGACTAAGGAAAAATAATATAGAATGAATGATAAGAGAGATAAAAGAATAACAATAAATAAATTATTAATATGGAGAGAGAAAACTAAAACAGTATAAGGTAAAAATATACATAACAATAAAATATGAAGAGAAAGATAAGATGTAACACACCTCCTTAGGTACTTTTAGTTTTAAAAGAGTCGAAAATAAGATTTATAGTAAAAAATTACAGTGGAAGTAAAAACACTTCTGATAAAAAATATTTCTTCAAAAGAAAGTCTGTATTCAGAAAATCAATTTAATATATTGAAAAGAGAAGATTAGATGCCCGTAAAGGAAAACTACTTTAACAAAAAATATCAATATATATATATTGGAAAAATGCCAAAATGTTCAAAGTTATAAAATAAGTTGGGCTAAACTTATTTATAATTAATTTAAAGATTATATACATAAAGATAATTTACACAAAAATTATATGAGGCAAATTTCTTCTCCAAAGCTTTTCAAAAGAACAAAAACTAAGTCATTGTTTTGGTAACACATTGATCTGCCTCCCTATCGAAAACACAAGACCCTAGCTTGTACATACAACGAGCACGTGAGTTCGTGCCAAAAGCTCTTAAACCGAGAGGCTGCTACCTCGATCTACTGATCTAAAATGGGGGGAATTTTATGAGCTAAAAGCCTAGTAAGTAACAAGTTTAAGCTATAAACTTGGGTCCTAAGACTCCTAGACCTATACACATAAAGAGTATGAGATACAACAAAACCAAACTGCATAACATTATAATTTTTACTATTTAAATAATAACTTAATATCTCAAATCATAATCACACATGTCAAAGAATAATAAATGACATTTAAATTATATTCATATACTAAAATCATATGCTCACAATTACGATGTCACAAGCGCAATGCATAAAACCGAAAATCACATAATGCTATGGAGTCCACTGATGTGTGTTAGCAACATTGTACTGAGACTAATCATAGTACTAACCCTACTGCGTAGAGGTCCACTAAATACCCCGAAGGATCCACTGAATACCTCAAGCTTTAGGCTTAGGTCCACTTACTCCATAGTCACAAGCACATACACATGTCAAACAAGTTTAGAACATGTCCAAAATAATATTAGAATATTATCCCATTTAATGTTCCCATTAATCAGTCGCATGGACAATTCAAGTTCATACTAATATCCACATACACAACTCACATATTCTATAGAACTTTATATTGAAAGAAATTGAAGTACATTGCATGAATGGTAATTAGTGCGTAAACAGTATTCGTGAACAGTAACTCGTGAAACAGCTTTAGCAAAGTCCTTAAATCCATAAAATTCACACTAAATAAAAAAAAACAAGGAATAATTAACTATTCTTCTCATACAACCCCAAAATTTGACATATTTCTAATAAATTTTTAATGCCCAAAGATCTACTAAACTAAAGTTTTGGGGTCAATTCCACTAATTTAAACTAACTTTTTTATAATTTATCCGAATAAAAAAAAGCTCTAACCAAAATTTATAACCAAACTCATACTTACATGAAAAAGCACCTTAACCTTAGCTGGAGAAAGGAAGAAAGATGCAGGTGGAGCAGGAAGGTGCAAGGAAAAAAAAAGGGGGCTTTTGGGAGGCTTATCCAAGTCCAAGCAACAAGGAAAAAAACTTGGTTGGTATAATGCCATGTGGTAAGAAAAATTGAAATAATTGAGTTAAGGCCATTCAACTCCTACTAAGTTCTACTTAAAACCCCTAAACTTTAAATTCAATCAATTTAACCCCTAATACTATAAACTAAAGGACTTTAATTTTTAAATTATTCACTAAGGTATGTGGAGTGTTACATCCTCCCCACCTTAAAAGGATTTGGCCCACCAAATCATTTAACTTACCAAAATAAATTTGGATACTGCTTCATCATTTGACTTTCAAGTTCCCATGTAGCTTCATTCTCAAAATGATGTCGCCACAACACTTTCACTAAGGGTACAGTTTTGTTCCTCAATACTTTTCTTTCCTATCCAAAATCTATACTGGTTGTTCGGTGTAATTCAAATCTTCCTTCAACTCCAATGGTTCATAATTAATGACATGTGAAGGATCTGGCTCATACTTCCTCAAAACAGACACATGAAATACATTATGCACATTTGACAATTCTGGAGGCAATGCAATTCTATAAGCCACTTCACCTACCCTTTCAAGAATCTCAAACGGGCCGATATACCTCAGACTGAGTTTTCCTTTCAAGCCAAACCGGTACACTCCCTTGGTTGGTGACACCTTCAAAAATACACGATCTCCAACTTCAAATTCCAAAGGTCTCCTTCTATTATCTGCATAACTTTTTTGTCTGTCTTGAGCCACCTTAAGCCTCTGCTGAATTAATTTCACCTTTTCTGTTGTTTGCTGCACAAAATTAGGCCTCATTACCCTTCCACAACCAACTTTTTCCCAACAAATTGGAGTTTTGCATCTCTTGCCATAAAGAGCCTCATAAGGTGCCATTTTAATACTGGAATGATAATTATTATTATAAGCAAACTTTGCCAATGGAAGATGATCATTCCAACTTTTAGGCAAGTCTAATGCACAAAGCTCTCAACATGTCTTCAAGCACTTGAATAGTCCTCTCAAACTGCCCATCGATTTGTGGGTGGTATGTTGTGCTTAATTTCAATTGAGTTCCCATGGCTTTTTGGAAAGATCTCCAAAATCTTGCAGTAAACCTTGGATCTCTGTCTGATACAATGCTTGTTGGAACTCCGTGGAGTCTAACAATCTCCTGAACATAAAGCTTAGCCAACTTGTCTAATAGTTCTTTTTGTTTTATGGCCAAAAAGTGAGCTGACTTTGTCAATCTGCCCACAATCACCCAAATTGCATCAAATTGCATCAAATTGCATTCTCGTCTTTGGCAATCCCACAATGAAGTCCATTGAGATGGCTTCCCACTTCCACTCTAGTATAGGCAAAGGTTGAAGTTGCCCTCCTGGCTTCTGGTGCTCTACTTTTACCACTTGACAAGTCAAGCACTTGGACACATATTTAGCCACATCCTTCTTCATGCTTTTCCACCAGAATGTTTCTTTCAAGTCATGATACATTTTGGTACTTCCCAGATGAATGGTATAGTTGGACTTGTGTGCTTCCTAAAGTAATTCTGTCCTCAACCCTTCATCATATGGAACACAAATTTTATCTCCAAGTCTTATGATTCCATCATCCGAAATATGAAGGTCCATTTTGGAGCTCTTCTCATTGTCTTTCATCAACTCCATCAATCTTGAATCTTTTTGTTGTGCTTCCTTGATTCTTGCCAACAATGTAAGTTGAACCATTAAGCTAGACCCTAGTACATCAGACTTGGGTGGCAAAAATCTGACATTTAGATCTTTGAATTCTTCTAGGAGTTTCCACTCTATCACCATTAAGCTTGCTAATGTGCCAGTTGATTTTCTACTAAGTGCATCTACAACCACATGTCCCTTTCCAAGTTGATAGACAATTTTGCATCTATAGTCATTCAGCTACTCCACCCATCTCCTTTGTCTTAAGTTGAGCTCTTTTTGTGAAAATAAATATTTCAAGCTCTGGTGGTCAGTGTGCACCTCAAACTCTTCTCCATACAAATAATGCTTCCACAACTTAAGTGCAAAAATTATGGTAGCAAGTTCTAGATCATGAGTAGGGTAATTCCTCTCATGTGTCTTGATCTGTCTGGACCCATAAGCTATCACCTGTCCATGTTGCATAAGTACACAGCCTAAGCCTTTGTGAGAAGCATCGGTATATACCACAAAGTTTCCTCCATTGTCAAGAATAGCAAGAATTGGTGTTGTGACCAACCTGTTCTTCAACTCTTGAAAGCTTTGCTCACATTCATCTGTCCATTCAAACTTTTGATTGTTATGGGTAAGTTGTGTTAACGGACCGAAAATCTTCGAGTATCCCTCCACAAACCTTCTATGATATCTTGCTAGTCCAAGAAAACTCTACACTTCTGTGGCAGTAGTCGGCCTTTCCCACTTCACAACTACTTCCACTTTACTTGGATCAATTGATATGCCATCTTTCGAAACAATAAGACCCAGAAAACTAATCTGATTCAACCAAAACCCACATTTATCAAACTTGGCATACAACTTCTTTTCTTGCAAAATTTGCAATACAATGGCAAGATGCTTCTTGTGGCTCTCTTCATCAGGAGAAAAGATAAGAATGTCATCAATAAAGACAATGACAAACTTATCTAAGTACAGGTGAAAGATCCTATTCATAAGATTCATAAAAGCTGCAGGGCCATTGGTTAGACCAAACGGCCTTACTAGGAACTCGTAGTGCCTATATCTGCTCCTAAAAGCAGTCTTCATCACATCCTCGAGTTTAACCTTTAGCTGGTAGTAACCCGATCTAAGATCAATTTTGGAGAAAACACAAGCCCATTGTAATTGGTCAAACAAATCATCAATCCTTGGCAAAGGATATTTGTTTTTGACGGTGACTTGATTTAGCCGTCTATAGTCAATGCACAATCTAATCGAGCCATCTTTCTTCTTTACAAAAAGAACCGGAGCACCCCAAGGAGAAGTATTGAGTCTAATAAACCCTTTATCAAGAAGCTCTTGTAACTGCTTCTTCACTTTAATTAATTCTGCTGGAGCCATCCTATAGGGTTGTTGGGATATTGGTGAAGTACCGGGCACAAGGTCTATAATAAATTCAATCTCCCTATCTGGAGGCAACCTAGCCAACTCCGTAGGGAAAACATTAGGAAAGTCCTCCACTACCCGAATTCCTTCTACAGATACTATCTTATCTTTAGACTCAAAAACATATGCCAGATGTCCATAACATTCATGCTGCAACATTTTATCGACTTGCACGCAAGAAACAAGTAACGGAAATGATCCAACTTTTTCTCCTTCAAACCGAATCACCGGCTGATTAGGAGCGGAAAAGGTAACCACCTTCTCATAACAATAAACCATGGCAAAATGGGTAGACAACCAATCCATACCAAGTATGACATCAAATTCCATTATTCCTAACAAAATCAGATTGGTAAACAAAAGTCTACCCTCTACCATAACTCTATAAGATCTATAGATGGTTTTTGGTGTTAAAACCTCCTTAAAAGGAGTATTCACCACAAGCACACAATCAAGGGTCTCAGGCTCCACATGCAAATGGCACATGCAAAATGGCACATACTTAGGTGACACAAATGAGTGGGTGGATCTAGAGTCAATCAACACCTAGGCATTCCCAAAAGAGAAAGGTATTTTACCTTTTACAACTGTAGGAGTGTTTTGAGCTTGTTGTTCTATAATGGCAAAAACTCTTCCTTGAACCCTGGGCTTCTTATTATCTTGATCCTTTGGTTGTTGACTTACTCCCTTGAGAACTAGGCAATCCTTGATCAAGTGGCCAGTCTTTCCACACTTGAAACATGCCCTAATCTGCTAATAACATTCTTTTCTCCCATGGTTCTTACTGCACCTCTTACAAAAATCAAAACCTGGTGTTGCTTTCAAGCATCTTCCTTTTTCCTCTTTGTTCAGGCCTCTTGTTGAAAGGCTGGTTGTTGGTAGCCTTTCCCTTGCCTTTTGAGTCCTGAGTCTCCATTTTTTGCTCCTCCATATCTTACTCAATTACTTAAGCTGTGGCTAAGACCTCATCATAAGTCTTTAGCATTTGAGGAACCACCTTGTTCATAATGGGAGCTTTCAGCCCTTTCTAAAACTCCCTTGCCTTCCTAACTTCATCATTAATAAAGTGAGAAGTAAACTTCACAAGAGAACTGAATTTAACTTGATACTCATCAACTGTCAGGTCATCTTGCTTCAAGTTCAGGAACTTCAGTTCCTTTCTTTCCAACATAGCTTCAACAAAATATTTTCGATAGAAGGCCTGAACAAACTTGTCCCATGTACCTCCTCCCCTCTCTTAGAAAACCCATCTTCAGTAGTTGTCCACTAATCATCAGCTTCACCCTCTAATGTAAACACTGCCAGCTCCACTTTTTGCTCGTCAATACATTTCAAGAGCTTGAACATCTTTTCTAGTTTCTTAATGCACGACTCAGCCACATTGGGGGTTAGGAACTCCCTTAAAGCTGGGTGGGTTATTTTTTGAAATTGCTTTACCAATGTCAACAGCTCATTTCCTTCCCTAAAGTCTACTATTTGCTGTGAATTGCCACCAGTGTTTTATGGGGCATTATTATTGTTCTGATGTCAAAAATAATCCCTAAAGATGTTACTCATATCTATAATGGCCTTTTGCATTGTGTCCATTCAGGCATTCACGTCATCAACAGGAGGAGGAGTAGAAGTATTGTCTCCTTGACTCATCTTTCTTCTCTGGTATTGATTCAAACAATCAATGCAAAACTAATAGTTAGGCAAAATCTAATCCTATGACACTAGACTCTAACTCATATGGCAGATCAATATATTAGCAAAACCTTGGCTCTGATACCAAAAATGCAACACACTTCCCTAGGCACTTTTAGTCCTAGAAGAGTCGGAAATAAGATTTATAGTAAAGAATTGCGGCGAAAGTAAAAGCACTTCTGATAGAAAATGTTTCTTCAAAAGAAGGCCTATATTCAAAAAATCAATTTAACATTTTGAAAAGAGAAGATTAGATACCCATAAAGGAAAACTACTTTAACAAAAAATATCAATATATATGTATATTGGAAAAATGCCAAAATGTTCAAAGTTATAAAATAAGCTGGGTTAAGCTCATTTATAATTAATTTAAAGATTATATACATAAATATAATTTACACAAAAATTATATGAGGCAAATTTCTTTTCCAAAGCTTTTCAAAAGAACAAAAGCTGAATCATTATTTTGGTAACACATCGATCTGCCTCCCTATCGAAAACACGAGGCCCTAACTTATACATACAACGAGCATATGAGTCCCGTGCCAAAAGCTCTTAAACTAAGAGGCTGCTACCTCGATCTACTGATATGAAACATGGGGGAATTTTATGAGATAAAAGCCCAGTAAGTAACAAGTTTTAAGCTATAAACTTGGGTCCTAAGACCCTTAGACCTATACACATAAAGAAGATGAGATACAACGAAACCAAACCGCATAACATTTATAATTTCTAGTATTTAGATAATAACTTAATATCTAAAATTATAATCACATATGTCAATAAATAATCAATGACATTTAAATTATATTCATATACTAAAATCATATGCTCACAATTACGATGTCACAAGTGCAATGCATAAAACCGAAAATCACACAATGCTATGGAGTCCATTGATGTGTGCTAGCAACACTGTACTGAAGCTAATTATAGTACTAACCCTACTGTGCAAAGATCCACTAAATAACCCGAAGGATCCACTGAATACCTCAAGCTTTAAGCTTAGGTCCACTTACTCCATAGCCACAAGCACATACACATGTCAAACAAGTTTAGAAAATATCCAAAATAATATTAGAATATTATCCCATTTAATGTTCCCATTAATCAGTCGCATGGATAATTCAAGTTTATACTAATATCCACATACACAGCTCACATATTCTATAGAACTTCATATTAAAAGAAATTGAAGTACACTGCATGAATGGTAATTAGTGTGTGAACAGTATCCGTGAACAGTAACCCGTGAAACAGTAACTCGTGAAACGGTAACCCGTGAAATAGCTCTAGTAAGGTCCTTAAATCCATAAAATTCACACTAAATCAAACATTAAAAAAAAAAAAAAAAAAAAATCACTGTTCTTCTCATACAATCCCAAAATTTGACATATTTCTAATAAACTTTTAATGCCCAAAGATCTACTAAACTAAAGTTTTGGGTCAAATTC